ATACAAGCAAATCCACTCCCTCTATCATATCATCCCATATCTCTAATTCAGAAAATAATATAAATGAAGAGATAAATGAAGACGTTAAATCTTTATCTGATGATTTATTAGATTCTAATTCGGAATCCTCTGATGATGAGGAGGATGTTACCGATAATGATGATGAAACGAATTCAAAAGATTCAACTAAGGTAAATACTACACATAACCATACTTATTTTTGTAATAAAACATCAAAACAATATCCCGATTTATATTGGGAAGGCATAGAAGGAAATAATGATTATTATGGAATTACTGATGAATCTTTATGCCCGCTATGCAAATTAAATCATTATGAGGAGTATGGTATAAAAGGCAGATATAAAACTCGATCCTATTTTATTAAATGTGAACAGTGCGGAATTAAAACCGAGATAACGACATAAACTTTAGAAGCTTTGCTTCAGCTCCGCTATCTTATGCCCCACCAATTCATTTCACACATTGTCTGGATATATAATAAAAAAAGTTAACTATATTAATATGGACATGGGCTTGTGCACATTTATTTTTTGTTGGTTATTATGTGACTTTAGTCACTAGCTTCGCTATTAATTTAAAGAGATATAAGATCATATAAATGGCAACATGAATACACAGACAAAGACCGGGCCCTTTAGGGGCGACTCTACGAGTCATAAAACATTAACTCCCAAATATTTGGAGTGGGAAGCTAAATTAACAGAATTGCCAAGCATTTTGACAGATAAAATTCGTTCTAGGTTTTGTAAAAGATATAAGAAAAAAACTGGACTTGATCCCTGGATAAACACTGAAACTTCCAAATCTAAACAAATCAAAGAGGATGCCAATAAATATCCTTCACAAGACTGTATTATCAAAATTTCTAAGTTTCCAGAAGAAAAAAGTATAATCCATGAAGCAGTACATAAACGCTTCCCTTTCTTGTCTTACATTAATTCAAATGCATGGTACCGAGATGTTTTTAAATATACTGATTCAGAAGCTAAATGTCCGATATGCGAAGAAGTACATACACGTTTAGGTATATGTGGTGATTGGAGCTGTTTAGGTAAAAATGATCACTATTATCTCAATTGTCCTTTTCGTATTGATCAAAAGAAAGCTATAATTGCTGTACAAAGTTTGCCGGAAACTCAGGTAATGGTACCAAACAAATTCTGCAACTCCCCAATTTCTATGACTAATCCAAATAAAATGGAATGTCTTTATAAATATGCCATTGAACATGGAGAGGATCCTGAGAAATTTTCAATTGTTATTGAAGCTGAGAAAAATAGGTGGGCCATGGAATGCTTCCGTGATGACTTGGAAAGAGATATACGCTTTTATCAAGGTGCAATAGAAAGAAAGGAAGATCCTAGAAAATATCATAAATTTTTAACTGATCGGGATAGGCTGATCGGTGAAGAATTATTGTGTCATGGTATACTAGAAAGTCGTTTAAGTACTGCATGGCTCGATGACCTATGAAGGAATGGGAAAAAACTGTATCCAATTTTCCAGATAAAAGCATAGCAGTGGAAGCATAATTGTAGATAGGTCTCTACAGATAAGTATCACAAATCAGTTGATATTTGTATCTTGTAACACATATATTTAGGTACGAAGTGCCATTTCTATGAGCTTCGCTCTTTTCGAAATAATAAATGAGTTTATCACATTATCGATCAGATATATAGATCTATAATGGGGCTGTGTAACGAAAATTATTTTTAGAATTTTAATGCGTACGACCACCTGACCATAATAACAGTGCATGCATGATTTATTTGTGCGATTAACCAAATTCGATTAATTACCTCATGTACATACTTTTCTTTGTAAGATAATTCTTGGCGTAAATACATTCACATTGCTTCATTTCTCTACATATATTCATTCTATAGATCCAAAAGAGATGAGCGAAAACGTTTTAAAAGGACAGTATATCGAGTTATGAATATTTATTGCTTTTATAGTGATTTTTTTACACTCTTACTTTGACCATATACTGATTTCAATAAAAAAATGGAAGCTTTTTTCGTTTCATATACGCCTATCTCGGATATTAATATCGCTACAGCTTTATATAAACGCATAGAAGCGGGTGTGTGGACATATGAAAGAGAAGATGAGATAAAAAATTTCATGGAGGTACTTGAAAATGCGTTGAATATTGTGTCTATTGACGATGACGAGAGATTAAGAATTCTTAATGACTTTGGAACTGGAGATGCCTTGAAAACTCGCGTAAGTTCTCTTAAAAAATATACTTATTTTAAGCAGATATGATTATTCTATGGTTTTCTTATGACCCCAGCAGTTGAAGCGAGTAGTGGTGTATAACAGTGAAGTAGTTGCGCCTCCATAGTAATGATATTTATTGCGATGGGCTCGTCAACAGTAGCTGTTTATACACAACAAACATTATGAGTGGAAACTCAGGGGTTTCATTATTTACAACTTTTTGGCCAAATAATATTGACATGATAGTGAAAAACAAAAACCTGCTGATCTGCGCAAATAATACGAATTTATTTTTTATTCTTGTACATAACTAATAGATTTATTAATTTATAGATATCGGAGGCTTTTACCTATATTAGCTCTCTGATACAGATGAATGTTTTTGTAAGTAATTACTCTATCTCTTTTCCGAATATTCTGAAATCTTAGTAATGATTAAATCACATAAATGTAGAAAGTGGAACCCTCATGGGTGGCAGATGCAATTGAGAACTTCAATGCTTTAAAGCGAGATGTACATAAGGTTAATTTCTAATAGGAATTATGGCATTATTTGAAATCCATTTATAGTTATATACTAATTCAGAATTTAGCTTGCCTCGAAGAGTATTGGAAAAGAAAAGACCATGTGGCAAGAGATAGATAATAGGTTGCAAACGATACAGGTAGAAGAATTAGGATATGATCACCCTCTTTGTTCTGGGATACTAGATGAGAGCTTATCTCCTATCATTGATATATCTGAGGAATCTCGCAATACTTTTAAGTCATGGAGTAGGAAATTTTTAATACCTCTGAGGAATGAGGCAATAGTGAGTAGCTGTGAAAAATTTATCCGCAAAGAAAAAAAGAAGGAAAGTGAAAAAAAGATTGAAAATTTTGGAGATTCCTGGTTTGGTGAATATTTAGATCACCCTGAAATATCACAAGAAATTGCGGATAGGATGTTAGATGTACTGGGACGAATTTGGGCTTCACCAAACTGGAGATCCTTTGCAACCACTAAAAAAATCACAATAAACGAGGGCACTTATGTCTGTGAGGTTTTGTCACCATTGTTAAATATTGCAATGAGTGATTTACCTGTTAATTGTGATATATGGGCAGAATGGTGAGTAAACTTTGTGTTTCCTGTCTAATGTAATGTCAGCCTTGAAAAATATCCAATGTAACGTTGTTATATATATTTATTTTGTAGGGGAGAGATAAGGCGAGTAGCGCAAGTGCTAAACGAAAAGGCTCTTCTAGATCTGCACGACGACCTGATTTTTCAGTAATTGTTGGAATAAAGGGTAATAATATAGAGATTGGATATCTTGAAACAGGGCGACCAGATTCTACCACTGAAAAACAATGGAGGGATCATAAAAAATTAAACCGACTTTCAAAGGATTCCATTGATTATATCACAAGTGCCAAAAAACAGAATAAAATCAAAGGGATAGCGATAAGAAATATATTAACAATATTCACAATTAATGTTACCGGTACTGTGCTAGAATTTCGGTGTATGAATAAGGAGTATGGTATATATAAATCCTGCCTTCTTGAATGCGCACCTATTCCGTTAAGTTTATCAAATGCGGATGCTGAAAATGTATACCAGTTAATTCATGTATTATTATCATTCAGAACTAGAATAATATGTGTTATGCGTAAAATGTTATTGGATAAAGGTAATATAGACGAGAATGATTCTGATGATACAAGAACGACGGTATCTACCCCATAAGTTTTGATTTTATTTTTATTTCTCTTATATTTCTTCGATTTTTAGTTAATAAAGCTATACATGTAAATATCTGAAAAAAATAAGCTAATTAATTATTACACATATCTGATAATTTTCCACTACATGCTGAGAATATCCGAATCGAGATTATTTACCTCTAAATATCTGCATAGTTCTACATAATTAAATACCGCTTTCGTATCTTGCGTATTCCTATTTATGATAGTTATAAAATTTTCGTCAATTCTATGTATGTACTTATCCCGGTTTTGGAATTGCATATACTGCTTAGGATTGTCAGTGAATCTACCTTGAGTCTTACGTCTGTTATTTCTAGATTTGCGAGACATATTAATATCCTATGTATAATGACGTATTATATCAAAGTATTAGACACATTCAATTTTTTTTTCTAGCAAAGTGATCTCCGTTCCAAATTGGAACGCACGTGATTTTGATGAAAATAAAGCATGGACATCCACATAATTCGATCGAGACAAATGGTTACATAGAACCTTACTTTATTGATATATAAAA